AAATTTTCTTTTTCTTTTTCTTTTTATTTTAACTCTAATTAATAAACACTAATCTAAGATGTTATAAAGGGGTTATTTGTTGTAATAGTTTAAAATTATTAATTAATATTTCTTAATTTAATAAATAAAAACATTTAAATTATTAATAATAACCATTATTAACGGTCAAATTAAATGAAACAGCTAATCACTAATTCAAACTATTGTACTAACTAGGCAAAACAAAAAAAAAAAATCATGCAAAATATTGTTAATGGAAGCCTATATGGTAAGATTTTATTATCATTAAATCATTTACCTTTTTTGCGAACTTAATCTCAAGCAAATAACAGCCACTAATCAAGGTCCCCTTTAGTGGAGACACAAACATTCGTACAAGGTTAAAAGTGCCATTTCAAGACAACACGGGCGCTCTGATCAGAAATAGACCCACCGAAAGGCTGGTAGGGGGCGGAAGGAGCGGCCGGTGGAGGAGGAGGAGAAATGGCAGTCGAGAACAACCATTTTTCTCTGGCAAAGATACCATTTTTCTCTTGCAAAGATACCATTTTTCTAACGTCGGAAATTGAGCCGCTTAGCCAAAATATAAGAAAAATACAGACAATATGACACCATTTCGGCATATATTATATTGCCACTGCCTTTTAGCGCACATGAGAAAAATAAAAAATAAAAATAAAAAACCATGGAAAGTATTTTTTTATTTTGATTGTACAATAGGAGATAATCATCTTTCATTCCTTATTTCACCTCACTGTACGTCATGCGATTCAAATTTAAAATTTTTTATTTTCAACGAAAAAAAATAATCACTAAATTATTTAAATCGTTAGTAAAAAAACATGAAAAGTATTAAAATTGAAATTCAATAACGTTACCCCACCCTAACCCTACCCTATATATTTTAATATAAGTGTTATTTCTCAATTTTCATTCACATTAAAATTGATTCTTTCTTTGAATAAAAACAAATTATTTAACTTATTATTATTTTATTTAATTATACTATTTATAGAAAATTGTCTTCAACAGATCTCACACATTAAATGAAACTCACTTTCTATCGTTTAAGTCACAACCATTTGTCTAACTCTACTATTTATACACGTTACATCTTCACATTAAGCAATCCATCTATCCTTCAAATTGGAAAGCTTACCATCCATAGAAACTGTGTTATTTCGGAGAGCTCTTATATGAGAGTGGCTCCATTCAAGTGAAACAAACAAAGAAGATTTATCTCTCTTCTTCATCACCATCGTCATGTGTAATCAGAGCACCACCGCTCCTCATCCCACCATAGCCGCCACAATCGAGAAGCCTCAGCCGCAAAACCACATGTGTTTCAGTCTCTTACCATCACCACCCAACACCAATAAAGCCACCGAATGTAGCCCACATGAGCAGCAGCCTCAATATCTATGGCCCTCAGTTTCTGAGTCTGTCACGGAGGCAAAATCACTCTTCGGCCTTGCCTTCCCTATAGCCTTATCCGCTCTCATTCTCTATTCTCGCTCCATCATCTCCATGCTTTTCCTCGGCCGACTTGGCGACGTTGAATTGGCAGCTGGTTCACTGGCTATTGCCTTTGCCAACATCACAGGGTACTCTGTTCTCTCTGGTCTTGCTCTAGGCATGGAGCCTCTCTGTTCACAAGCTTTTGGTGCTCAAAGACCCAAACTCCTTTCTCTGACCCTTCATCGCTCCGTAATTTTCCTCTTGTTTTCTTCATTACCCATTTCTTTGCTCTGGCTAAATATGTCCAAAATCATGGTTTATCTCCGCCAAGATCCCTTTATCGCCCACATCGCTCAGACGTATTTGCTCTTCTCCCTCCCTGACCTCTTCACCCATTCCTTCATTCACCCAATCCGCATTTACCTTCGCTCTCAACGAATCACCTACCCGCTCACTCTAGCATCCCTCATCGCCACCATTCTCCACTTACCCATCAATTTTCTGTTAGTTTCCCATTTCAAATTAGGCGTCGCCGGTGTCGCAGCCGCCGCCGCAGCCTCCAACTTCTTTGTCCTTTTTTCATTGGTGGCTTACGTCTGGGCCTCGGGTTTGTACGAGCCCACGTGGACCAAACCAACCCGTGAATGTCTAACGGGATGGAAGCCGCTGCTCCGTCTTGCTGCGCCGAGTTGCGTATCGGTGTGTTTGGAATGGTGGTGGTACGAGATCATGATCGTGCTCTGCGGCCTTCTGGCGAACCCCAAGGCAACGGTTGCGTCGATGGGTATTTTGATCCAAACGACGTCGTTACTTTACGTGTTCCCGTCCTCGCTTGGTTCTGCGGTTTCCACCCGGGTGGGGAACAAGCTCGGCGCCAATCGCTCTCACGTAGCCAAATTATCCGCTGGGGTCGCGGTGTTTATAGCCGCCATCATGGGCCTATCAACATCGATGTTCGCGTACGGGATGAGGGATAGGTGGGGCCGGATGTTCACAAATGATCCTGATATCCTGCGGCTGACGTCCGCAGCGTTGCCGATCATAGGCCTCTGCGAGCTCGGCAACTGCCCGCAAACGGTGGCATGTTGCGTCCTGAGAGGCAGCGCTCGACCATCCACGGCGGCGAACATCAACCTCGGCGCGTTCTATCTGGTGGGCATGCCGGTAGCTATTGGGCTTGGGTTCTGGGTTGGGGTTGGGTTTTGTGGGCTTTGGTTGGGCTTGTTGTCTGCCCAAGTGTGTTGTGCTGCGCTGATGTTGTATGTGGTGGGGTCTACAGATTGGGAACAGGAAGCAAAGAATGCTCAGATGCTGACATGTGTAGATAAAGCAGTCCCTAACGTTAGTGATGGTGTGGGGGAGCAAGAGGAGCCGTTGATTTCTATTACGGTGACTTCTGCTTAAAAAAACCCAAGCTGTAAAATTAGAGGTTGATATGTAGTAATTTTCATTTTGTAGCTTTCGTTTTTTTTCTAAAAAAAAAAAATTTGAGTTTGATAACCATTTACTTTTTTGGTTGCGAGAGAAAAAAAAAATATTATTATTATTATTATTATTTGACGATTAGAATGTTCTTAGCCTGACCTAACCTAGGCATCTTAAAACTCTCTAAATATTAATATTTTGATTGTTAATTTTAAGATTTAAATTTTTATTATTATTATTATTATTTGACGATTAGAATGTTCTTAGCCTGACCTAACCTAGGCATCTTAAAACTCTCTAAATATTAATATTTTGATTGTTAATTTTAAGATTTAAATTTTAAATTTAAATTATAAAAAAATATTTATTTATTAATAAATTTAATTCTTGTGCGATTAAAAGAAAATTTTATTAATTAACCATACATCCTTCTTTCCTCACACAGCTTATATTTCTCCTTTAGTTGCATAAGGGGAGACATCTCCCGTGATCTCTTTAATTTAGTCGCCTTATTTGTATGTTATATTGTTTATTGGACTTGAGCTTCAGGTTATGTTTCAATTACGTTGCTTTCTTGTTCGTTCGACGATTTCTAGTTGTGAGTGGTAGGAGAGCACTTTTTATTGTTTTTTTCTTTTTCAATAGTGCTTTATTAGGTCAAAAAAAGTAAGGTTGAAAAAGAATAAAGGAATCATGATTTTTTTTTTTTTTTTGATAAAAGCAATGGTTAGTAAGTTAATATTATTAGATGTTCATAACTAAGGATTCGATTTCCAAATCTGGTAAATAGTGTGCGCGGCCATCAAGCCGCTTGGTAGAGTTAAAAAAAATCATGGTTGATTCTTTCATTTGGTGTCACTTTAATATACCTTAAACCTTACTTACCAACAAAGACAGAGTCAGAAAATAATCTTGGGGAATGAAGTGCTCTTTGAAATGTGTATGTTAAAAATAAATTTTTTAATTTGTAATTTATAAATAAGATTAAGACTTCAATATATAAAAATTAAAATTTTAAAGATTTTAAATGTAGAAAAATTTGTTAAAATTGATGTGTATTAAATTTTAATTTGAAATATAACTTTTATAACAAAATATTACTTAATATGATTCAGATAAAAAAAGTAAATGTTTTAAAAAAATTAATAATACCAATTTCAAGTTAATTTCATTTTGTTGCTTAATACGAATAATCATTAACAATGCATATATTGCAATGGCAAGCATGTCAAATAAATAAAAATATTCTATTAAATTTATTTTATTTGTCAAGTGATTAGTAATTTATCATAAGATCTATAAAAAAAATAAAAATTAGAATACACTGTTTTATTTTTTCAAAAAGGGTTTATTTGATTTTTTAAAAAAATATAGGACCTATTTAATTTTTTTTCAAAAGTCTAGGGGGGCGAGCGCCCCCCCTTGCACCCCCCTTCGCTCCGTCCCTGGTTACCAACAAGAAATTCAGTAGTTGTGCATAACAATTAAAGGCCTCTTTGGTTAGAGGTTAAGTTTTTGGAGAGAGTTTTTATTAAAAGGGTAATTGAAAAAGAAATGTATAAAAAGCTAATACGTTTTGTAATGAGATTTGATTAAAATTTTATTTGATTGTTAAACATTTCTATATTCTATAAGAAATTGACATAGAAGAAAATGATAAGAAAATTATTAAATAGAACCTATATAAAAAAAAAAAAAGTTAAGAAAAAGCTTTTTTTTTTTTTTTTAAAAAAGTATAAAAAAAAAATTTATTAGTTACAAATTATGTTAAAAAAATAAAGATTAAAAGTATCACTCTTGTTCTCTATTTATTATTATAATTTAAAAATATATAAATATTAAAATATCCTTACAAATGCTAAAGGATGATAATACTTCCTAAAAAGGTATATATCAAATGCCATCTAAGAATGACAACTAATAAATTGATTAATATATATTTTATCAATTCTACACTTAATAATTGTGAAGATAAAGTATGTAAGAGAAGATAGTGCCAATAATGAGGAGAATTAAAAGTTATTCCTAAATTCGAGCTGAAAAAAACAAGGGCTTAGTAGCTTATTCTACACTTATAATAATTGCTAAAATAAAGTATGTAAGAGAAGATATTGCCAATAATGAGGAGAATTAGAGGTGATTCCCAAATTCGACCTAAAAGAATAATAAGAGCTTAGACGAGTTACTATGACTGAAAAATTTTAATTTGGTAAAGCTTAAGCCGGGGCTGAAGGGAAGGATGGGAAACTACAAAAGTCAAATGAACGTGATAAAACATATCCCACTAAGCACTCATTATTGGGGAGAGGTAGATGTCGCAAAGATCCAGACAGGACCCATTATAATAAAGGGTGAGAAATTTCTATCGTATTGGACGGAGAAATTTATCCAAAATTTTTGTTGCAGAGGCAAGAAATTTCAGATGGGTTGAAGAAACCTGGACCTATAGAAGTGAATAAAAGAAGGCAAACAAACAAGGTTGTATTATTATGAGCAACAGTAACCAATATGGCAGCTTTGAAGCATAAAAACAAGAGTTCCTTTTGTCTTGTTAGGGCATCAGAATGCTGTTTTTACAGAAGGGCGCACGAGGGAGGTAACATTTCACGTCAGTTAGTCTTTTTATCTTTGTTGTTTTCCCATGCACACAATCTTACTGTGAAAATGCCCAGCTGAAGTTCATCTCCCTTTCCTGCATGCAATCCTCATCATAACTTAACTGATTTTGTTGCTTTTCTTGCATACGGCCAAACCAAGGGGCACATCACTGCCTTCTGGGGTCCATGTCGTTGGCTTTTTTGGACCTGCAATTACGTACTGCTAGGAACCTGCTTCTGCATGTGGGTTAATTATCTTAATCATGCAATTTATGTTGTTTATCATCATTATTAAGTGTTATTGTGGCATGGTCTTCTTGTGGTTTTAATTGTTGCATTGCCTCATGCAGAAGAAAAAAAAAAAGTTGGAATCCTAAGGCTAGAAACCCGGCGGCCAGCTAGCTGTTCAACTTCAGAGCCCCATTCTTCGGATGCTACAAAGAATATTGATGAGGTATATATGTCTTTCAAATTCAATCATACTTTTCTCGAGCCATTCATCTTGTAAAAGTTCATAGATTATTCTATCATGGTGATATATGAAACTTGGAGCATTTCCCATTCACCCATGTATGTCTAGAGCATGTTGTTATAGAATAAGCAACCCATACAAGCCACATATATTTGATCTATATGGCTACGGTAAAGTCCCCACAAAGATGTCTCTAGCACGAGCTGAAGGATCATGGCCGCAATTCCGTTTTTTGTATGATAAAAGACTAGAAAATGCATAGATATAGAAGCAGAACGACAACATCATTCATGAGCATCATGCCTCTAACATGGCTACCCTTATGAGCTACTACTCCTTTTTTCATATCATCTTTTTCTGTCCCCTTATATATCTAATTCTATTGCCAATCACGCGAAGTCATCCCATCATGCCTCCCTATTGGTTAGAAACCCTACTGGAAACAAGCTCAGCAGGCTCTGTTTAGGGCGAGAAAGGGCAGGGCTTTTTTCCTCCTTGCAACCAACAACTGGCACACAATAACACGAAAATATTCCTATGATCAGTTGTGTTTAAGGGTTCCAGGATCTGTCCAACTCTGTTTATTTATTAATTGGCCATGGCATGTTCCTTTCAGGAAGAGCTAATCCTCTTTGTGGAGGAATATGAGTATACATGTGCTAAGTTAGCTGGTTATTCTTTTGATCACTCCATTTTTCTCTACCCCCTTAGAGGCTGACACTTGGGTCCACTCTAGCAGTGGATGGCTATAATTAACCAAGGAAATGGCACCTGAAAAAACAAATGCAATGTGCCCTTGTGTTTTGTGTGTATATAATATGACCAAGGTAGATATTTATCGGTTGCAACTTGTGTGTTTTGATTAGAATATAACAATAAAATAAAGTAATTTTTGGTACATCTAATAAATAACTTATTCAATAAAAGATAGTCTGAAACTTTCACAAATTTATCATCACTTATCTCAAAATTTAAACTTGAAACTTTCAACTTGGAGTTCCAAGCTCTTATTTGTTAAAACACCAATTTGGGGTAATAGTAAGATATAAGTTAGGGATATAGCTGGGACATATGAGCAAACTAGCTATGTTGAAGGGTTTGGATAGAAACTAAGGTTAGAAGTTTGCAAGCATATGTATGTCTTATGTAGAGACTATTTGATTTTGATAGACCTGAAAGGCTGAACATCAACCAGGTTGTGGTACATCTAATTAATGACTATGTAGTGTTGTGGTTTGTAAAAGGAACTATTGGGAAAGCTATACCAAAAGAGAAAAAGGAATTAATAAAATAAAATGATAATAAGAATATTAATGGGGTGTTTTTAGACTTGCATATCAATATTTTTATTTTCAGAAATGATTGTGGCTATGTAGATTCTAGCCCTAAGATAGTAGATGAAGTATGGTGCTCGTCCTTCATACTTCTTTTGTTCAAATCCCAGAGCCCAATTTGCTAATTTCAAGTGAAAGCATCTGACTAAAATTACGTTTCAACAGTTAATTTTATCATACAATCTGCTAAGTGACTATGATGTTTCCTTGGTTTTGTATCAGATTTTCTTCCTCAACTTTTACCAGTAATCCCCAAAATTATTTTAGTTAAAAGTTGTGATGATATTCTATGAGCATGTCTGATGGTATGCCTTTATGCTTTCAATTTGCTACCTCTTATTACTTTCCAGTTCAACAATTCTTTTAATCAACAAAGGAAGTTGCTCTTCAATTAGATATATAGTTGCTTCATGCTCGCTACACGTGTGTGTTCTTGAAAAGACTTTGAAAGCATATTATTACTGCATTCTCACATTTCCAATTGAATTTATCATTGTTCTTATTTTTAAACCCCATAAACATTCAATTTGTATTTCTATTTTCATTTAAAATCTTATGACCAACAAGTATTCCATATACTCTCTGTAACAGGGGCAATACACTTCAATTCATGGAAACGGATTTACAAACTTGTAGTATATATTTGGTCTCATAGACCAAGAAACC